CATTATAATGAGATGATATATTCTAAACGTTTCTGTTACACAAAATACAGTTAAAATACAAAATACAGTTGAAGCATAGACATGAACATTTGACGCTTACTTTAGTGTTTAATCAATATTTTGTTTAAAGTGGAATGACCTCAACGGCTACTCTGGAACTAACCTGAGAATTAAACTAAAAAAGTTCGTAGAGACAATATATTTTTTCACTAAAGCAATTACTATGACAAGTTCCAGTGAGCGGGATTTATTAATTTTGTTTGGAGAAGGTTTTAACTAGGTACATTCTGTTTCTTAAAGGAAAAGGGGTTAAGATCATATAGACTAGCATGCATAGTATGAATAAAGTACAGGGCAAAACCTATAACAATAATATTTTGAGGTAGTTTCCTTTTCTTTATATGCATGTCAATGCTGGAGAAACGTAATTTCGTGATTGGTTTCGACAAATGGGTAATCAAACCCTAACCATGCACTGCAGTGGCAAAAATGTTAGACGTGAGCCGTTGATTAGCTTTTTCAAATATAGATGAATATAAACTCGTTAAATGTTTTAAAATAAAATTATAATATATCAATTGAATATAACATGTAATACTATCTAACAACTAAATGGCTAAAGAGGATGAAGAAACAAATAAATAGGTATTGTAATGTGGTCTCAACCATGGTCTCAACTATGAACCCGCTGAACGTTTTAAATAGGCCTATTTCGATAGAATGTAAAGTCAATCGCACTTTTAGCAGGAATTCCACCACATAAACTTAGAATAAGAGTAGTTTCTATTTTTGTTTCTATTATTTGGACCAGAACCAAATCTAGGGTAAAGTTTAGTCAAAGGGATGCATTTACACTAATTTAGTTTACCTTAACGAAAGGAGAATAAAAGTAGAAATAATAACTGGGCCAGGTCGCTAATTCAGTGGGTTTTACCAAGAACTTAAATTATCTCCACATTTCACGAAGACAATTTCCGAAATTACAATCGGGAAAGCATTTATATCAAAAAATTTTGTTAACTATAGACTACCGGTAAGCATTAAAATGCACAAACATACGCCTGTAAATTAAGTTACCATTCTTCGTAATGTAATGACATATTTGATGTAATATAATGATGATTAAATGCTAGAAACTCAGTTTCTATATCCCGCAAACTGATGCTGAGCCGGCCAAACTCCTAGCGCCAATGCCGCGCCAAGCGATTTTAGGCCTATTTTTAATCGCTTAAAAATGATACAAGCAGGCTCCGTATCAAAAAAAGCTTCAAATAAAAAATAAAATTCATACTTTGATCTAAAACTTTGCCGCAGGATTTTTTTTCCTGACCAAAAAATAAAAAAGTTCCTCGCTTACTACATTTTTCATGTTTTTTATGGTGTTAAAAACAATCATCTGTTTTAATTTGCCTAAATAAATTATAACAATTATGTTAAGGTAAAAACTAGCTACATAGTAATGAGCACTGGTTTTTCCAGAAAAATAATATATCAATTTGAAATTTTTATGTTAACAAATAAGTGCAGCAGAGCAGGTTGAGTGAATGTATGTTTGTGTAAAACAGAGAGGTTCATTCGGCCCGTCCGCCTCGGTATCCCGATTGACTTATGGCAGAGACTGTACCGTTGGAGCTTATGAAACTTGGAGGTTATGAACCGCTCTGTTTATTTGATATTTAAAAGTTGGAGTTTGTGAAATTTGGACATTGTGAATCGGTGATTATTTGAAAATTATAGTTTTGGAGTTTATGAAATTTGGAGGTTATGAAACGCACTGTTTATTTAATATATTATCGTTGGAGTTTGTGAAATTTGGACATTGTGAAACTGTGCTTATTTGGAAGTTATAGTTTTGGAGTTTATGAAGTTTGGAGGTTATGAAACGCACTGTTTATTTAATATTTTAGACGTTGGAGTTTGTGAAATTTGGACATTATGAACCTCACCCCTCTTATGTTGTCAGAAAGTATGTTTTATCAGCACACATAAATAAATCACAATACTGTAGTTTTTGAGCGGAGCGAGCGAAGCTCTTATACTACACTCCTGCTTTTGTTTTACAAATACTCCTCCTGAACGGCTGAAGCGATCTTCACGAAATTTAACACAGTCATAGTACCCAACCACGGGAAGGTATAAATCTGAAATGGTACAAATCGGACCATAGGAATTTTCCCTACATGAATGCAAACTTTTAGAAATTTAACATGGTCCTTATGGGTTAATTGGTTGCCATGACATTATTTGCGAGTCAACACTAAAAAGTAAACAAGAGCCTCGACATATGTTAGTCAACAAATCTACCACATTATAAATACGGTACAAAAAAAAAATGTGATGAATACTAAAGAGTATATTAGTTAATTGCATGTAATACGAATTGATTAACAATCAGTTCTATATTGAGTTATTAAAATCATGACGTTTATATTTAATTGTATAATCGTTATGTTCTTTTTAACAGGTTAAGTTGGAAAAATATATAGGTTCCAGCTACTAGGAAAAATAAGGTTTCAAGTTAAGCAAACTGCTTATTTTGATGTTATTATAAATGTAATGAAACGTACCAGTAAACCAATTCCTAAAGTTTTCACTTATTCTTTTTAGTCTACATTCGTATTGATAAATTTTACTGCACCAAAGGGAAAATTTGAAAGTGGTTGACAATATATTTCTTACTTTTAACTGCTAAAATAAAACTAGACCTAAGTTATATGTCTATACTTAAAAACGAATTGATAATTTTAAAAATCGATTAGCCTATCTCAATTATTCGCTGTTAGGAAATGATTACACACAAAAAGTTAATGTATTTATAAAAAATGCATTCTTATCACAAAATTAAGTTATAAATGTCTAAAAAAAACTGATCAGTGAAGTTAAGAGAAAATCATATTCTAACAAAATCAGAAGCAAAATTTTAAGGCTGCGATGGAGATTCGAACCTGCGATCTCAAATAATAATCGTTATTGCCTTTTAATGATGCAGGTATCGCATAGGTTTACCATGATTCATTTGCAGGATATAGAAATTATTGAGCAGAGCGTAGCAAAGCTCTTAAATATCATTGACTTTAACTTCTCTTATCCTACACTCCTGCTTTAGATTAATAGCATTGAGCATAATTTACTACAAAATGAATAACCATAAGGGTTGCCAGAATTAGGCGAATGCACCATATTGCGTTTGGATTCTGTAAATAACTTTTTCAGTATTTTATGTGAGCAAGACGTGCCATTAATGTAGACTTTGAATATGCACTGCAATTCCTATTTGCAGTCTACAAATAGGAATTCCATTAAGGTGAACCAAATATAACACTCATAGTTTCGATACTGCAATTAGACAATTCTTTGACATGAACCCGACGTATCATTTGACGTACTTTGAATACTGCACATAGACATCCCATATAAGTGAAGCAGAAGTAGGCCTAAGCCTACCATTGACTTCGGATACTGCAATTCGGCATTTTATCTAAATGAACGAAATAAATGGACAATTGATTTGGGATACTGCAAGTAGACTATTCATTTACATGCACCATTGAGTTTGGATACTACAAGTAAACTATCCGTCTACGTGAACCGGACGTACCATTGACTTTAGAATCTGTAAATAGGCATTACATTTATGCGAACCAAATATATCATTGACATTGAATTAATATGCTGGCTCCGCTCAATATTGCAAGCAGACGACTGCATTGTACACCTAGTTATTATAGGCCACACATAATAGTCACATTATAATTTTAAATTATTTAATAAATCTACATTAGTTGTTAGGTGTAAAATTAAGATTATTATTTGAAAAGTAAAACTTAAACTTTATGTAAATTATGTTTATACACTAATCAACAGTAACCACTATTTTACAAATAAGTTACAACCCCCAAAGAAGACAAACCACACTATTAGACGACAAAAAAACTATAAAACGTACCAAATTATTATACAGAAGTAAAGTGCTAAATAAGGTTGATGCAGTTTCACCATGGTTTATGGTTTAAAACAAATAAAATGTAAGAATAGAGTTTAAACTTAACAAAAAGTGCAGTGGAAATAAAAGGAAAATTATGTAACTACAATGAACAATAATTGACTGCAAAACATGCCAGTATGTGCAAAAGCTTGGAAAAACTTATATTAAGGTTGGTGATAGCAAATCAATAAATCATAACTCTCACTGGATAGAATTTCAATAAAATTGATCTTGATAACAATTAATTTGTCTAAAGAAACCTTTCAGTATCTTTATCAAATCTCTCACTGAGTAGAGCAGGAAATCCATAGTGTACGTAAATCACAGGGATACAAATCTTGGAGGCTGTCTTAGTTGTGTATTCCTTTTGGAATGAATAAATAGCATTCAACAGAGGGAAAGCACCAAATACAAACCCTTACAGTAATAGTGTTATGCCAATTAAAAGCCCCAGATGTAATTAGTTTGGGGGAATGCCTCAGTACTCGGAGATTAAGTTTTGGTGGGAGAGGGACAATGAGTGAAATTTATCCCCTATATTGAGTAGTCTTCAGTGTAATTTTTGCTCAATAGTTACAACTGATGTTTTACTCTTTGTACTACTGTATTTTGTAGTTTCCTAAGTATACTGTGGATGGCTTGTTATAAACACATATTACAAGTCTTTTGTTGACCTTTTCCTTGTTATTTTGTTCAACCAACACATTTACTTGGCAACCCATAAGGCTAATGTTAAATTTAAAATTTTCAAATGAGTTGTGTAGGGAAATTAGAATTTTCGTGAGGTAGTGGCTGTCACCAATCACATTTTCACGGCTATAAGTCCCTAACTCCAAAATGCAGTAAAAATCCTTCCGTTAGGTTTCGTGATATATATTCCAGACAGGCAAAGAGACATAGCTCGTATTAGAGTCAGTATAGGATAATTAATCAAAAACAATATCAAAGCAATAGGTTTATAACTTACAGGAAGTAAAAACCATGTCCAGGAGTTTGTAAAAAAAGACAATTATTAACTTATAACAGATTTATTTCAACAATATAAATGGGTATGTACAAATACTAATACAACTTGTTGCAAAATACTGGATGTGACGTAAAAACTAAAAAAAAATGGAGTCAGTTTCCCATTTTATTGAATAATGGGCCTAGTAAACGATGCGATATTTAACTAAAATAAAAACCCAAAAAGAGATCACTTCATCCTCCTCCTCTTTACTAGTGTAAAAAGAAACTAAACAGGTGTAGGTTACCTGTTTGCTGTCAAAACGAACCTTAGGTAGTACTATGGCGACTACAGCCATTTTGTGCTTGTAGAAAACTAGCTCATCTTCAGGTCAAGAATACCTCTCATGTAGAGTTCGTCATAATTTTATAATAAAACAGGGAATATGTACGGTTAAAACATGCACGACAAAACATTAACATTGGCATGAAGATGTGTAACTTTTCTTCAAGCACGAAGCAGCTGTAGTCCCCATAGTACTACCTAAGGATCGTTTACGTTTTGACAGGAAACTGGTGACCTAAACCTATATAAGTTTATTCAGACAATCCAGAGGCCATTCCATCGTGTAAACAGGTGTGCAATCCTTACTAAACTCACTAATGGATAATGACGTTAACTTATACCCATGCTGGACATCGTTTACTTATCGTACTTATGGTGGGTCCTCTCACCAGCTAAGGGCCACATTAGTAAGCTTAATGCTGGAATCAAACCCACGCATAAAGAAAAACTTCAGAGCTAAACACATGTCAGTGCAACGCGTCTATCTACTCAGCCACCATTTCACTGACGGCTGGCTAGCAGAAGTGGACTAAAGACTGAATACGACTGGACACTTGCAGATGAGATTCAACTATTAATTTACGAGCGTAGGTTCATAGCACGGCTGCTGCGGTGCAAAATGTCAATGATTAGCTTAACTAGTTACTCTGTTAATGACAAGCTTTACTAGTAACACCATTTTGAATGGTAAAAATAATCAAAATACCTCTCTATTTGACTTAAAAAAATTTTTCCTACAGTCATCCGACAAAGTGGGCTTCATTGAACAGATTATAGTACAGTAAGCCTTACTTTGTCGCACGGATTTTACTTTGGCGCACACCAGTATTCCAACCAAACAACATAAAACAGTGTGCTTTTATTATGCACTTAATATGTATACGCTTGAAAATAAGTTGGCAACACTTAAAGATACTACGACTACGATCAGCTGGTGCAGCGTTTCCGATTTCGTTCAATGTTTGGATTTAACCTAACCTTTAAAACGTGTTGTACCGTACATTGTTTGAAAGACTTATTATTTATATTAACTGTAGGAAAAATATAATGTGTAACACAAACACAAGTGCAAACTGCCTTTGCTGCTTGAGAAACTTTCTCGAGTAAAATTGTCTCTCATGTGCAGCAAAGTGACACTTAGTTACTATACACAAATAACTATTATAAACATTCCATCCAGATATTTGCAACAAAGTCCACCTAACAGCCTAACTGAGTTGTTACCAGGCTAATATCGCTTCAGAAACTTGTTCAAGTACAATGTCCAAGGTAAGAGATGATGTCTCCTCTGCAGTTTCGGGTGAAACACATCAAAGTCACACTTCTGCAGCTGATCCAGAAACCAAGAGGTGGAGGCTGCAGGTAGAAGTAAGATAAATGTACCCTCAGGTACTTTATCCTTCAAGCTTCTAGCCTGTAACAACTCAAAATAGTGATCATCTTTCGTGGAGGAATTTATCATAAGTTTTCTCCCTCTAAACATTTGAATTAAAATTATATGTTATTTGATTTGTTAACAGTTAAACCTGTCCAATGTTTATACAGTATTTAGTACAATGACTTTTCATAGACAGAACCGCAATTCATCAGTGCAATAGGAAAACTGTTGTACCTTGGACCAATAGTACCATATACATGTAGAAAGAGGGAACTTTAATGATTCTCCATCAGTCCATACATACCTCAGTCCAGGGATGTGGTTGGTTAAATGTTGCTAAATAAATTAGAAAAAAAATTTAAACACAAGTTTCTGAGCAATTTTTCATAAATTGTCTGGAATTATTTTTAAACATTAACACTTTGTCGAAAATTCTGATAGCGTTGTTGACGAGGTATAACAACATTGACTAAAATAGTTTTTGTTGAAGTATGCAAAGGAATTTTATTTAAGAAAAAAACTAGAAGGGAATTAGACTTGTCTTCACAGTCCACAGCAACAATAAATTATAAAGGTTATTTTAAGATGGTTGAAAAACTATACACCTTAGACTTGCTTCCTGACTTTTATTCAGCCAAACAATTAGTTAAACTTCATTCAATCTCAAAAAAACAAAAGGACAAAGCTACCTTATCAAGATGTTGCTTGGCTCGAGAGGCTACTTCGAAGATGACGTCGCGCACAGGCTGGTCTCGATGTCCTCGTAAAACAGTCTCGTGAGACACACGATGTCGCGCAAGTACGTCTTGAGGCAGTGGCACATCACGACGCGTACAGTGATGCGGCAACGAACGTACCAGATTAGCCAACCCCTGCGCCTTACCTAGATGACTGGCAGCATGATCAGCATGGACATTCTGTATACCTGAAACACACACTCTTAAAGCTGGATAAAATATTAAATTTAAAAACCATTTAACTAAAACATTTCAAATTGCAACGGGCTATTATTTCAGAAAGTAAAGAAGGTTTTGATATAAAATGAAAAGTTTGTAAAAGGGAAAAAATTGCTACAGTAATTAAATTTGAAAAATCAACTAAAATACTACAGTACTGTTCTACATAGTTGTGGTAGTTTTGTTGTTGGTTACATAGTTGTTTGTTGTTGAATTGAGGCACTTATCATAGCAGTTAGTTGACATTGTAGAATTCCACTATGTGCATGCAGTCTCAGTCCTTCAGTAACTGGCAGTTAGAGCTCTTTGTTGTAATTAAAGCTCTGTGCTGCTAAACAATGCTTCATTTTGGGAAACAAGTCACTTGGAGCAAGGACCAGACTGTATCGTGGTTAAGAATCCTTGGAGCTTAGCCGTGCTAACGCATTAAAAAGTTACAAAACCTCTAACAAAATTTCTTATTTCATAGCGCCCTGGATAGACATAGGATTTTCAAATTACAATCACTTTGGTATTTAGTGATGGTAAATAATTCTTCAGCAGCAGTTTGAATAACGTTGCTTTCCTGGCGGGCAAATCCGACCAATAGCCTCCAAGGACTCTTAAAGGTGAAGATTTTTATTTGATAGAACAAAGGACATATTGTGGCAATTAGCACTGTGTCTTCAAATTTGCCTTTTTATTTGCACTAATTTCTGACTGAATTTTAATTTAACTCACCAATAAATCAGTTTTGTCAGGGTTACTTCAGTACACTGCAAACATTTTTCAAAGAATTTTTAAAGGTTTTGAGTTTTTGGCTAACACTAAATCATATCAAATCAATCTTTAATGTCAGTAAACATTTTACAATAATGTAATAGACAGAGTCAATGGTTGTACTACTGATACAATGACTGGACAGTCACAGAGTAGACATCACAACAAGTATTTGTGGCAGATGAGTGTTTAACCTAAAAAAATTTTCCAAAAACAATTGAAGTTACCCAAAAGTTATTTAGGTTGCCTTGCCTGATGCTTGCAATAGCATGTAGTAAATGGACGAAACAGATAATTCAGCATACTTTTCCATCACCTCCAGATTAGGAAATGTACTCGAAAGCTGGTTGGTTCGGGCCAACACTAGGTTTTTCAAATGTGTCTTTTGCAGTTTATGCCTTCCTATAGCCTGAAACAAACAGTTAGGTAACTTACTTCAGTTGAGCTAAGTAGGTTGCATATTTTAAAAGGGAATTGAGTAAACAAGGTATAGAGGAAGTTATTTATATTGTTTTATTTACTGAGACTGATGAATTTTTCTACATAGACTAGTGGCAATAACAAGTTTAAATATTACGATTTTTTATCTGGGTCTGAGGATCGTGTGAAAGAGGTTATGGTTTATAGCGTGCGCCTGAACACAAAAATCAACAAATTGAATCGTCAAACTATTGAACTTAGTAACCATTTAACTCTATTGAAATAACAGTTTAAACACCCATGACCGCTCCAGATTATGGCAATAGTATATCCAATTCACAGGTTTTAAAAATCAATCTCAAACACATGAATAATTTCCCCTTGACCTCAAACATAACTAGTAGAATGAGTTGTTAGGCTTATCTTTTTCGATGTTAGTACTATTACCGGTTCCTGATCAAAATTAACTACCGGTATAGGTTGTTGGTACTGGTACTAATCTAGAAACAGAAGTCAATCTTTACAAGTAAGAAGCATAGCCTTCATAGAAATATGAACAAGACATTTACAGTGTAAAAATGTGTTGGTTAAAAGTGGCATACAAAGATTCGTCTAAGTTAATTAGACTTGTCTGTTTTCTGTTGGATTTTTTCATCCAGGATCATTTATTAGAAGCCAAATAGACAAGGCAGGCAAAATTCAGTATCTAATATAAAATAATTGTCTAGATAGCCAAGTGGTTTTAGTGCTTGCCTTCAAATATGAAGGACGCTGTTTTGGTTTCAAGCGAGAACGTTTTTAGACCCAACTGCAATTTGTCACCGGGCTATAAATTAATGATGCCAAATTAAGTTATCAAGACCAAGGTTAGGACTGTTTCTCCCAAAAAAAGTTAAAAAATGCCAAAGGCAAAGATAAACACACAAAAAATTAATAAGCGATTGATTTTTCTCGGGATCCAACCAGCGAATTTCTGATTAAGTTGTAAGATGACGACTATAAACACTCAGCTACCGCATTGAAATTATATGCCTAGACATGATAATCAACATACCTTGTGAAGTTCTTGGGCCACAGGATGTTCCCGTACTTGATTCTTGAATAAACTATCAATTGTTTCCAGCCAAAACTTCAACCTCATTTGGGCCAACTGGTGGTTGCTCACTTGGTCTTGGACTTTGGATATTTCAACATTGAAGCTCCTTACAGCAAATGCTGTTGAACGCACGGAGTTTGGCAGCAATAAACTACTGAGAAAATTTTCATAATCGTATTTCCTAAAACAAGTTAAAAAATAAGTAAGTAAAGCTATTCGGAAAACATTTATAGCCGACTCAATCTCAATTATCGCTTGTTACAATTGATATGAAAGTTGTTTTTTATTATATTTTTGATATAGCCCAATCATTTAGGCCTACTGTATATGTTCGTCAATGTAATGGATTCAGGTACCAAAGTTGCTACTCATCCTACACTCATCCTTCACACATATTTGGGTTAAAATATGCACATAGTGGCGTCCCCATCTTAAATAATTGATAATTGATAAAAAGTTTCGCTTAGGTACAAATTACTAAACCATTAATTTAAGATTAGTAGGCTAAGTTGAAAACAATAATAAGTTAATAGGCATAAAAATAACAATCAGCTGAGATGTCATCCGACACAGGGACAGTAAGTTATGCTTAGCAAAAGTTTAAAACGAATTCCAAGAGTTTTTTTCAGAAATTTATTAACTAAATCCTAAAATTGGGAGAGTAAGCAGTAAGCAGGTACTTACAGGAGTTCTCCCCCTTTTATTAAGCCCCGCTTTCACGCCCCGGTTCTAGCACGGAGCTATTTTACACATTACTTCAGGCCTAGAGGGTCGCGGCATTATCACATAGATCAAATCCATTGTTGATTTGGCAGGAATTGAATGCCGGACCTCGGGCTCCGAAGCCCCGCACTCTACCATTAGACCCCCTCGCTCCCCTATTTAGACAGTTTCCCAGAGAACCTACCATAAGCCTACATTATCATAGGAAATTTCTATGTTTGCGAATTTCCATTTGCCTAATTGGATTATCACTTACATCTATTTAAATAAGTTAACATTAGGTTTAGCGAGTACCTAGGTTTGCTGCTCAAGACCTGGGTCTGAACCATTCCCTCTCAAAACGTTAATAAAATGTCAATGGCGTAGATAGACACAAAGGAAACTAATTTGAGTTAAACAATACTTAGGCCTACTTGATAGGCCTACTTGTGTCCTTAATCCTTGACCGACGATGTCGGATAGATTGCGTCAGAGGCACAATAACATAGGCCTACTATTTATTTACATATTATTTAAAACTAATATTTACAAACTTCTTACAAAGTTGTCTCCTCTAATACTTACAAGGCCATGGCCTTGGTGTGGGGCAACGTTGCACCGCCTGGCTTATTGCCATGGTAATAACAGTAAGTTAATAACAATTGTGTAAACCGTGTAAACTGATCCAAAGTCTAAACGTCACAATGCACGGTGTAAGTGGTAAGTTAATCAGGCCACTTTTTGAATGGCCAACAACAATAAATGAAATTCAATAACTTAAGTTGGTTCTAAAATAATAATAGGCCTAAGATAAGTAAGGCCTAGGCCTACATTCAATATTTTTAGCGAGTAAAAAAATTGTATCGATTTTTGGCCTGTAAAACTGAAATCGTAACCAATAATAAATCATAGGTTCTCTGCGGAACTGTAGGCCTACCCTTACTAAGGCCTACTTATTTCGCTATCAAACTATAGCCTACTTCTATTGAATCTTGATTCATTATATTAGCCTAGCTAAAATCCTATGATAAGTTAGGGTCAATCCAGAATTGCAGCCATTTTTTAAAAGGCCTAAGGGTAAAAACATAGTGGAGCAGGGCAGGTAGCTGGTAGCCTGGCTGGTCGCTTACTCGCTTAACTGCTGGTTACTTGGAGGGTAGCTGGGACATACACACAGTGGCGCTCAGTACAGTCGCTTGTCAGCCTCCGATACTAATATTATCACTTATAATATTAGTGGTATAGGATAAACTTTTGTTCAATCCTAGTTCATTCACTATTTCATTCTACAGATCGTTGAGTACGTGACGTTTGTGCTTGTCCGGTGGGCTTGGTTCCACAAAGGCACACGGATAATAACCTCTGATATTAATTTTTCTACGTCCATTATTTTATTTCATGTAAACAAAACAACATCCAAATAAATCAACTAAAACAAACAACACTCCGTATACTAAGAATGCGCAGTGAAAGATCCCGCGTGGAACTTGCGAACTCGAGAACACGTGGCTGTCAAGTTCTGCTATTTGCGCATGCCCCAGTCGAGCCTTCCCCGCTTGAAGCTCCCAAACAATCGACTTGGCAATTCTTCTAGCTTGCCGCCTAGCTTACTGCTACCCTCTCGGCTACCTGCTAGGCGTGACTGTGTGCGTTGCGTACCCATAACAAAGCGTGCTTTAATTCTACATCGCAGTAAGCGATTAAGCGACCCGCCAGGCTACCAGCTACCTGCCCTGCTCCACTGTGTTTTTACCCTAAGATAGATGCAGTTGACTGCTAGTCAACACATTTTACCTTACTAAATCCAAACAGTAGTTGTGTGAAGAACCAGCATTTGTTGCTGAGCTGAAATATCTTATAGAACGCCAATGTCCTAAAACTGGTGGGCCTGAATGTATTAACCTAGCGCATTTGCACATAGCTTTTTCCATTTAAATCTTTAAACATGAGAGTTGAATGAATAAATAATATCAAGTGGCAAACTAAAACACAGCATGAGCCTAGACTAGAATAAGTTAGGCCTAAGTATTAATATTCAATTCAAATATACCGAAATCTAATCTAACCTACAACAAAAACACAATCATTTCACATTTTTCTCTTCTGCTAAATTTTTTTATTTGTTAAAGCTAAGGCCTAGGTTATGGGGTTATGGCCTAGAAAAAAAATACATGCAGCTTCGAGGTACACTAGGAATTGTGGTTACTCCCTCCGCATTGATTATTATAGAGACCTAATTCAATTTTGTTATTCATTGTCAAAATTATCCGACAGTTCTTACTGCTGCAATTTCCTTGGTTTATTGTTACAGTTTTAAATATGATTATTAATTGTTTATCGAATATAATATTGTTATACCTTATTAATTTATTACAGTGGAATTCAATGTCAAATTTATCTTACTTTGTTTTATTGTTTATAATTTTGTTATTCAAATTAGCTACATAAAGCTAACAAATACAACGAACTTTTGAGAAAACCATTTTAGAAACAAACAAGCCTATCGGTTGATACTGATACATACTAGAATACTAGATAGATCAGCCGTTATACTTGTATACTTGGCTTACAATACCTACTTTCGTATGGTCGCATTTTCAAAGTAAAGTAAAGAATCAAGAATTTGTATTCTATTCATCATTAAGTGCTTTGTACAGCACACGCAATGGATGAACGTCATAAAATAACTATCGTAGACTAATAAGATTACAACTATAATAAAAGCAAAACTACAATAAGTGCAGTGTAATACATGCAAATACTAGTGTGATACATGCAAAGTATCACAGTCCGTCTTCTTTAAAAATAATAAGTGTAAATGTTATTAAAGTACCGGTACATGTTTTATTAAAGTTTGACCTAAATTGAAAAAATAACTTATTATAGTACTGTTTTATGAGATTTCTAAACCAACTTACTCCATGGTGAAAGGAATGACACTCCGTTTTGTGGCCCAGGAATCGCATTTTTTCGCATCGCAATATCGCATAGCGCATCCCCGCGACCCTAATAAACTTAACCAAAATCGAATTATTATAATAGTGTGAACTGTGAACCTTTGAAGCTTTTGGTCTTACTGAAATAACTTTTTTATTTTGACCAAATTTATCTAACTAAATGTAGAGCAGACCTTATTACTTAGCTAACCATTATACATAATATTTCTTATAGCCTGTTATCTCAACGCAACAAACAACCAGCATACAAAGTAAGTGTTATATGGGTTTTCATAGGTGTTACTTTTTTAACTTTTAAGGTTGTTATTTGAATATCCAAGGTTGTTTTATGTTTTATAAGGTTGGCATGAGGTGATTTATATAAAATGAGTATTCACATTTGAGGTCTAGGGTATATCATATAGGCCTGTTACGGGTTTTCATAGATGTTACTTTTAAGGTTGTTATTTGAATATCCAAGGTTGTTTTATGTTTTATAAGGTTGGCATGAGGTGATTTATATAAAATGAGTATTCACATTAGGTCTAGGGTATATATCATATGACTGCTCCAATATTATTGCCCTCTGTCAGGTAAGTTTAAATGAATAAGTAGACCTAGGCTAAGCTGTAGGCCTAGGTCTAATTTGTATATAGGCTTAGCATCTCTGTTTCCCCATCAGTAACTGGCGAGAAACTCTTGTGCAAAGGAGTGGGGGGGGGCATGACGTCATTCTACTCTAGAGGGAACACCATTAAGTTACCGTAACGAGACGGTTAGATTCCAACGGTGTTCGTGGCGTAGTTAATAGCATCTCGGACTGGTGATCAAAGGGTCTCCAGTTCGAATGTCGCCAGCGACACTCAATTTTTGTCCAAGTTTGTGCTTATTTTTTTACTTTTATAACTTTATTTTTTTAACCCTCCGAGTGTTATTTGTCGCTGCAGCGACTCACAAACACTGTTTACGGCGAAGGCTCTATTACTGACAAAATCGGATTGAACTGGATCGAGTTAGGTATGGTTTTATTTGACAGATTCAGAGCTTTCTCTGGAGGTCTGTCTCTAAGCGCTATTCATTTTAGTTCCGAAAATATTGTAGCAGACAGCTGACTTGCGTATTTGTAAACAGCTTGGTTAACCTCGGACCGATGACTGATGTGTTTTATTACAATTATCATTGTTTTAGTATTAAAAATCTAAAGTAGTGATATACGTGGTGCATTATAAGAAGATTTAAGTGATTTTGAAGGGCTGGTTGATGATCCTGAAGAAGTAGGTAGTGATATTGATGTAAATTATCAGCCAGATTCCTAGCTATGGTTAGGCTATGCATTTTTAGCTAAACGCTATGTACTGAAATCTGTTTTTTGCCCATAACTTATTTATTTGCAAATCTACTTCCTTATATTATTATATATTTGTAATCCTCATAAAATTTAGAACAAAGTGGCTATTTTCAAATATTTATAGGCCTATAATTTATACAATTTCATTGAGCGCAAACTTTTTTTTTTTTTGAAAATTTTCCAAAATATTTTTTTTTACCTAAAAATTTTTTTTGAAACAAATGTTCCTTATGTTCTATGTATAATATTGAAGCCCATGATTTTCCAAACAAAATGGTATATAGAACAGTATAATTAACATTGTTTTCAAGCTTCTCAGATCCGTTTTAATAAAACCTTGCAAATGAGCAAAAAATAGGCAGACATTAAGGCCAAAACAAGGGACACTCGGAGGGTTAAGAACTATATTTCTCACTCCCCTCATGCCCCGTTTTAACTTGATTCTGCTTTGCTAGCGTTTTTGAGTGTTTTTACACCCCTTTACTGTTTGTGACACTGTCACACAAGACCCCAGCAGCTTTATTGCTGCTTGGCTGTCTGAGAGAATCAGTATTTTCCCCTTCCTCAGGTTCTTATCCAGATCACATATCTTGCCTTTTTTTAAATTGTAGGCCTACTCCTTCATTAGATTGGTCCATTTTCATCCAATTTTTGTCTGCCTCTTTAAGAATATCTAGTCCAATGAATTTTATCTAACACAAAGACTAATAAAAGTTAGCCCAGTTGATTTAAAAACGAACCTAACAACACCTTAAATATTCACAAAATCTGTTAAAAAATAACAAAATTGTGACACTTCTTATTACTCAATATTTTAATTATAACAAACTGTAATACATGTGGACTTGTGCATGCTAATCAGCTGATAAATAGCTTTGTTTGAACAATGAAATAGAATTTGTTCTACCATCGCATCAAAATAGGCCTAGCTATTTGCGTCTTGTTGATAGGCGTAGGAATGTGATAATTTCTATGTAGTGGTAGAGAAAAAAGCTATTTCATTGTTCAAACAATACTATTATCAGCTGATTTGTTGGTAAAAAGAAATCGACAAGTAACAGCTGATTATTATGCGCAAGTCCACATAATGAAACATTTTAAATGTCACTTAGTTAGTTATTAAAATATTTTGTTAAGTGATTTTGTAATTAAGAAGTCATTAGATTTGTTTTAAAATCCAGTAACTTTTATTAGTCTTTGTGTTTTAATAAAATTCATTTTTGGGATATTAAAGATTTACATTTTTTTTAAGCCGCCATTTTGAAATGATAAAAAATGTTAAAATACTTTTTTTGTAAGTTGTAACATAGTTTTACATGTTTGTACCAAATTTAAAGCGTTGAGGAGCTATGAGGAAATTTGTAAAAAAACGCATACAAACAGATAGCAAGACGGAAAACTAGGCATTGGAGGCTCATGATTATATTGTTCTTCGAAGCTCCAAATATTTCCAAGACGTTACTCTACTCAAAACCCTGTTCCTGGCCTTCGTATTGCCACACCTAGAGTTTGGCTGTTGTGTTTGGTCACCTCACCAAGACTATCTCAAGACCGAACTTCAAATGGTTGTTAATCACTTCTTGAGAGTGGTCGGTGTGAGGTTGGGCTACAACTACAGAGAGGTACCCATCCAAGAAATCTCCAAGGCCCTTCAAATCCTTCCATTGGAGTCCAGACGTGAGATCCAGGACATCTTGCTCATTTATAAACTGGTCAATGGCTTCATCGACTGTCCCGGACTTCTCAAACTTCTGAACTTCAGGGCAGGTAGATCTTCAAGATCCAAGGACCTCTTCTCTCGTGAGCATCTCAGCACCAACTATCATCTCTTCAGCCCGCTGCCCAGAGCCCAACGTCTCGTTAATGCTCTACCTGATGATTTTGACCTTTTTAATATGTCGCTGGCTACTTTCAAGAAATGTGTGGTGATTTTGAGGTGGTGAAGTTCTTTAACTGTGTTTTGTACCTGTGCCTCTCTGTGTAAGCAAATTTTTCTACTGCCCTTTCTGGTTTTGTTTAATTGCACGGTAGTATGGTTCACATATTTTCTGATATGTTTGGGTTGTTGCTTTGCTTGGTTAGGTTCATGCATAATTATTGTTTCTGTTTTTACACTCAAATGTTATTATCAAATAATTTTTTTAAATTAGTAGATCATTATTGTGAATTTCGCCTGTTTGTCAACTTGTATTTATTGTTGTATTTATTGTTATCTCGTAGCTTGTTCAGAATTGTATTACATTTGCATCTTGTTAGTTCCTTTAAATTGTATCTCAATCAATCATCTATGTATTGGCGTCAGCCATTGAAACTATAAATAAATAAATAAATATTGCAAAATGTATTGTACATACAAGGAATATTATATATACAGGAATATTGTATATACAAGGAATTGTATACAAGGAACAATCCCACAAAATCGGTACAGGTTGTTAAGGTACACCCCGTATATATCGAGTCAATTAGAGTGGCATGAGGGATGTGCATGTGCACAAGAACCATTCCCACACTTCTGCTTTTGTTATGTTATAGTCATTTCAACAATTATTTGCTGTTGGATTGATTTAATACCTCTAGCTCATCTAGAGATGTGACTCAGTGCTGTCAGGAGCCTTTCCCTCATACCTCGCACACATCATACTAATTGACTCGATTTATATCTCTGTTCTCCAATCTCTGATAAATATTAGTTAATTACAACATATTTCTTACATTTGTTTTTATTCACAAAGTAGTTTTTAAATTGAGACTTGTAATGTTTTTAAAATAATGCTTATTTGCAGGTTAATCAACTACCATCATGCCGGCTGCAACGGAACAAGTTGCTGATGTTGAGATGAAAAATGTGGACAGTCCAAGTGGGGAAAACGAAACTGTCGATAAAAAGGATGTGGATAATCTAAGTGTCCAAGAAATCCGAGAACACACACGACAGATAGAGAAGGCCGTCTTGACCAAGGAACCTCGATTTATCTTGCGAGTTCTCCGTGCTTTGCCCAACACTCGCAGGAAGTTGAGCCCAGTGGTATTGAGAAATCTTATTTCTGGGTTTTACACTCATTCCACCTCAGAGAAAGATGCACTTCTCAACTTTGTTGATGAGCCGATGGAAGAAAGCACCAATCAGTTGAAGATGCGCAGTGGAAAGAGCTCTTCTTCTCCCTTACTACCAGAGATTGATGGCTACCTCCACCTTTTAGTCCTTGTAAAACTCATTGATGGAGAGAAGTACAAAGAAGCAGTGCAGTGTTCTGACTTGTTGATGAACAAAGTAACAGCTCAGAACCGCAGGACTTTGGATCTTGTAACTGCTAAATGTTATTTCTATCACTCCAGAGCGTACGAATTGACTAATCAGCTAGATAAAATTAGAGGTTTCTTGCATGCTCGCTTGAGAACAGCAACCCTTCGGAACGACTTCGAGGGTCAGGCAGTCCTGATTAATTGCTTGCTTCGAAATTACCTTCACTACAATCTGTATGATCAAGCTGACAAGTTGGTTTCCAAGTCTGTATTTCCTGAAAATGCTAGCAATAATGAGTGGGCCCGTTTTCTCTACTACCTGGGTTGCATTAAGGCGGCAAGACTGGAATACTCTGCCGCTCATAAACATTTGGTTCAAGCCATGCGCAAAGCTCCTCAAACCACTGCTGTTGGATTTCGACAGACCTCACAAAAGTTGGCAGTAACTGTGGAGCTACTGTTGGGGGACATACCAGACCGTCAGATATTCCGGCAAGCAGCTCTTCGACGGTCTTTGGCCCCGTACTTTCAGCTTACACAAGCTGTTCGATTGGGAAACCTGCAAAGATTCGGGGAGGTATTGGAAAATTTTGGACCTCAATTCCGTGCAGATCACACTTTTACTTTGATTCTGCGTCTTCGTCACAACGTCATCAAGACTGCCATCAGAAGCATTGGGCTGTCTTACTCTCGCATCACACCTGCCAACATCGCTCGCAAGTTGTCTCTTGATTCTCCTGAAGATGCTGAGTTCATTGTAGCTAAAGCTATTAGAGACGGAGTGATAGAAGCAACCTTGGACCCCGAACATGGCTACATGCAGAGCAAAGAAGCAACAGATATCTACTGCACACGAGAACCTCAGTTGGCTTTCCATCAGAGGATATCGTTCTGCTTGGATCTTCACAACCAGAGTGTGAAGGCCATGAGATACCCTCCAAAATCTTATGGGAAGGACTTGGAGTCTGCTGAAGAACGCAGGGAAAGAGAGCAGCAAGACTTGGAGTTGGCCAAGGAAATGGCTGAAGAGGATGATGATGGTTTCCCTTAAGTCCTCAACTGCATCATCAAAGGTTTTTTTGTATTAATTTCACTTTGTCATAGTTCACAATAAAAAATATTTATGTTTAATTTAATAAATGGTTATTATTCTTTTTAGCGAATTTCCCTACAGGCTATTACAAGGTGCATAATAAGCTATTACCGTAGGTCTTATGGTAAGACTTGTACCTTAAAAGTAAAGTAAAGTTAAAGTATCTAGTTTTATCATTTTAAATCCATTGAAGCCCCATTACAACTTCCTTTATTACAATTAATTTCTTCTGTTACTTTAGTAGAAAACTAATCATATTAACTTTTTGAACATGTTTAATAAAAGTTATAATTTTAAAATAGTCATTACTGTTATATTGTGGAATGATGGTGGTCTAGGTTTAGAGCACAAAAATCGTTTATCCTGAAACATAGTTTAAAGTCATATCTGCTGATAGTTGCACTTCTCTCTGTTATACAATAAGACTCAATAGTTCAGATATAAATTATTCCTTCATACACTTGGGCCTAACTAGAAAACCGAGATGGATTGTGATAATCAAACAGGCAGAAAAAGTTTACCCATTTTCCCACATTACGGTACGTCCAGAGTGCACGCCGATTCATATTCAGATTCAGATTTTCGGCGCTTGGTTAATCTGAGTCAGATATTTTTTACTGGTTGCTACAGTGTAAGCAGGAAATACGCCACTAACTCGGTTAGCAAAGAAACAAGTCAGTCGTTGTTATGGAATTGTCGTATGAGGAATTAACGTGCAAAATTATAGCGTCTGAAAGTGTGGTAAAGTTACAGCCAGTGAAAAATGGTGTTCATGATATTATATATCTCTTTTCCTAGAGCTAGAAATGATAGAGCTTCTTTCTATATTGAGTTGAATGGAGCCTGAAACCACCAAAACTTATTATTAAAATTGGACATCGTATCGTAAGAAACTGGTGTAACCTAAATAAACAAAAAAATCCTGAAGACCGTTTAGTTGTAACCCGAAAAGTAAGAATGGAAAAAAATGTATATTTTATCATCAAAACATTATTTATTTAACTAAATAGTATGCGTACAAGCAAAATCTAAAACCAGAATGAAGAATTCATTCCTGTAAGCAGCCACTACCATTTGAATGCAAGTGCCATTACGAAAATCTGAATCTGCATCGTCGTGCACTCTGGACTTGCCGTTAGTTGAGTAACCTGTATTGGCAGGTACATTGAAAAACATTTGACAGCTGTGTATACTGTATTACAGGCATTGATCTCTATTATTACTACAGGATTATTATTATTATTCAACTGAAGGAGCCAGGTTCAAATCTCACCCATGGCACTATTTTTTTTGTCTTGGATTTTTTTATTATCACCAAGTTTGGTTGGTATGGTTAGGTTATGACAGTTTAATTTTATAATTAAAACATTATTTAAAATTGAATTGAAGCCATTTATAGTTTTATTTTATGAACAGAACTATTTTTTCGATTAAACCTTCATTCGATTTTTCATTATCAGCAAGTTTGGTTGGTTTGGTTAGATTATGACAGTTTAATTTCAAAATTATAAAATTGAGTTTGAGGCATTTATAATTTTTTTTTATGAACAGAACTATTTTTTCGATTAATAAACCTTCATTGGATGTTTCCATTATTAGCACTTTGGTTGGTTTGGTTAGGTTATGACAGTTTAATTTCATAATAGAAATTTATAAAATTGAATTTGAGGCATTTATAATTTTATTTTATGAGCAAAACTAATTTTTCAATTAGTAAACCTTCGTTATAGTCAATAAGAAGCCTCCAAATGACAACTTTGGTAAAACTAATCCTGAATAACAAATTGTGCTTCCAGTAACCAAGCTTTCGTAAAAACACAAATACCATTAGCTGCCTCCAAACAAAACAGCTGTTGCAACCCTACTTGCAACCTTGCCACTTCGAAGGCCGCGGCCTGGAGTTAAAGCACAGAAAACATACTACTATAACGTGCTATAACCATTGACTATTGGATACAGAAGCTATAACCATAGATGAAACATACTCCTCAAGTAGATCTTTCACCCCCATGCTAAGCGTTGAAGCTCGGGAAAATTGACGCGATCGCTGCGGTCTCTGGTGGATTTCTCTTAAACATACTTTCTATGCATCCGTTCAATACCGCCACGCGGTCAATTCAGGAACTGAAGTAGTGTGATGGCGGGCGGAAGGCTGTGGCGAGGCGAGCAACGACGGTTAGCCAGACAGACACTAGATACTATTACTACACTTACACCAGTGGCAGTGCGATGGTAGACGCGTTTGATAAGTGTACTTGATACGCGTGTGCAAGTACCACTTTTAATCATCGTTCCAGCACTCACGCGACTGCAATATTATTTCATCTTGTCCCTGAATCGAGAAATAAAATATCCTATCTATATCTCGACAATTAATCTACCTATATAAATAGTAAATTTGATTGGGCTATTCTTTTGCAGAGCTCCTAGAGATTAAGATTTATTTAGTTTTTTGGTGTCATTTTAAATAGCTATAGGTAGCGTGTCGTCACGTGAAATAAAGTCAATAAATGGTAAGTGCTTCAGCTTCGCATACGGACCCTTCAATGTATGGCCAGGATAAACTGTGCTTATTTTGATTTACTAATTTACAAGGGTCCACCGGGACACTTAAAAATTTCACTACTAGATTAAAGAGAAACAATTACCAGCTCAATAATTTTAAAACTAGCGAATCTATGCTAATGTATGTATGTATGTATGCGAATGTGTTTTAACAATAACAGCATGAGTATTTCCATTAGTTACATAAGCTTTTAGTTGAGTCTCTTAAAATCATCGAAAATTATGACCGTTATTTAGTTTTAAAATTACTCTTGTAATAACGGTACTTGACAATTGCTCGATTTCGAGCTACAAGAACATTAGTATCCTATTTTTCTCTTATAGAATGTATACATTATACTTACACGAGTTAGTTTGGAGTCTGGAGACCCTACATTACCAGAAATACACCGTCAGTGGGCTATAATCGAGAAACAGCCGTTGTGCGCTATAGTGACATTGTTGGATTTGAATGCCGCGCCAAAATGGCACCAGTGGCGCTGCGGCGGGGTACACATCAACTTGGCCGGGCAATCGAGTTCGCCTCAACTGCCCCATATATATGACTTATCTACTTGAGGAGTGTTTTATCTATGCTATAACCCAGAATGCTAACCGCATGGTAAAAAGCGTTAAGTACTCGGAGAGAGCTTTGCCTGTCAATTCGTAGGCAGCGCCACCAGCGTTGCTATGCTGGTGCATTGTATGCTGGTGGCGCTGCCTACGAATTGACAGGCAAAGCTCTCTCCGAGTACTTAACGCTTTTTACCATGCGATGTGGTTAGCATTCTGAAGGCAGCCGTGAATAATGTACACTAGGTAATGTGGTAATGTACAACTGGGTAAGGTACAACTAGGTAATGTGTTTCCCTTATACTAAGGATCGGGACCGATAACGATAATATTTTCAGATTTTCTTCTTAAAAGATTCCCCATCAGATAAAAGGTTATTCTATTTTCTATTAATCACTGACTTCCTAGCCTCATTCATAGTTTTATATAATAATATATAATATCCTCTATTTTACAAAAGGAGTCTTAAATGATAATAAGAAAAGGATTAGTTCATTAAATGTTGTATGTTCCAATATTCCCACAAAATGTTTGAACAATTGTTAACGAAAGTATTTGCATCATTAATATCTGACTCAAGAAAACCACAACTGTCATCTGTAATAAATTTGATAAAATCCCTATAATCCTCCAACAGACACAATCCGCAAAAAACCTCAATTTCGTGAAAGAAAATCGCCAAAAGTGGCAACATTGGTCGTGAACTGGATGTACACGATTGACTTTAGATAATGCAAAAGGCATTCCATTATTGTCATCGAATATACCATTTACTTTGGATACTGCAAGTAGAAACTCATTTAATTGGACCAGATGAACCATTGAACCTGGATACTGTAAATAGGCATTCCATTTAATTTATGCAAACAAAAAAATATACCATTGCCTTGGATACTGCAAGTAGACATTCCATTTGCATTACGTGAACCAGAGAGAGTAGGCCTAACACATTGCCTTTGGATTTAGCATCTAGATATTTAATACGCTAGGCATATTTTTGTCATAATTGTTTTAGAGCGGTGGTGCTACCGATCACCATGTCTAAGCATGTAGTTTTGCCATCAAACAAAAAAACTTGGGAATTCCATCAGTGCTCTGCCCCATCAGTGGCCTTCAAAGTTCCTATGTTATTCTTAGGGAGAAAATGTTTGTTTACATTTGAACAGGTGAATACTTTACATACATACATACATACAGGTTCCTCTTCTCCGTAGTCTTGAAGACCAGGGAATTGTCAAATCTTGAGGTTAGGGTAGGTGTGTTTGTGTGTGTGTGTGTGTGGGTGAGTTCATTTGTTGAGATGTTTGTGGTCGTCAAAGAAATCTTTTAGGGTGTAGTATGGTCTTTCAATCAGGTATTCTTTTAATTTTCTTGTGAAGGTTGTTGTGTTGGCTATTTGTTTAAGGTAATCAGGGAGGGCATTGAAAATTTTTGATCCAGCAATTTGGGGGGTTTTACTAGTTTTAGTTAGCCTGTGTTGTTGTATGTCGAAATTTAGATCTGTGTTCCTAAGTTTATATTTATGGCAGTCTCCTCTGGTTTTTGGGGGGTTTAGTTTGAGAATTTTGGTGGTTTCTAGGATATAGATGGATGTGATGGTTAGGATCCGGTTGGAAGTAAAGTAGGGTTTGCAGTCTGTTGATGGTTGAAGGCATTCTATCGTCCTTATGGCTTTTTCTTGGAGCGATATTAGCTTATTTATTTGTGTGATTGAGGCAGATCCCCAGGCGATAATGCCAAGCCTAATATGGCATTCAAAAAGGGCGAAGTAGGCAATTTTGGTAGTTTTCTTGTTGGTGATGGACCTTATTCTTCGAATTGCAAAAAGAGATGATGAGAGTTTGCTGTCCAGTGAGGATATGTGGTCATGCCAATTTAAATTGCTGTCGATGGTAATGCCAAGGAATTTAGTTGTTGTGGC